CGGTGGCTCGGAGATGTTACGACCTCGCCCGGTACGCAGGAGGTCGTCGTGGGTTCGATCCCGACCCAGACGACGCCTGCTGCTGTGTATTTGGAGTTTGCGGTGTCTGTCTCTCGCTCTCTCCCCCTGTGGTCACGTGGAATTTTTCTCCGGGTCCTCCCGGTTTTCCCCCTCCGTTATTCAGAATCAACGTCAACACGTTTATAGATTATTTGGCTGCTCTAAATTTCAAACGACGATTAGCCACTTGGTTGAGCTATCATTTGTGATGGTCAGGGTCGTTTCTAAAAAATTAACCCGTAAAAACAAAGTTTTTCACTATAAATCCTTTATATGCGTGGCATCGGTTTTATTTTATTATTCATTTCTGTTTTTCTTGAGTAAGAGTTTCATTTTTATAACATTGGTATTTTAAATTAAATATGACATTTTTTTTTTCCTAAAAAGTGAAACATTTTTGACATTTTTTTTTCACGAAAATAAATTGTCACGCACAACGAGTCTGTGTGCAAAATGTCAGCTCGATTGGATCACGGGAAGTGGGTTAAAAAACGACCGAAAGATTTGCACGGTCGTAAGCGCGCAAGCAAGCAAGCGAACGTAATATAAAGGATTTAAAAAAGCTATGAAGTTCAGTGGGGCCTTACCTGGTCAAATAAAAAAATAGCATCGTATTAATTCTAGATTTTAAGCTTTCGTGACTGCAAGGATTCATACTCTTAGTTCTTTCGGTAAACGTTTTTACCTACGTGACTTTACCGAAAGAACCGAGAGCACGAATAGTATCGTAGTAGAATCTTACGGCCGCCCTGGTGAATACTCGAGGTCACCGGTCAACTCCCCGATGTGCGTGCGTGGACGTGCGTGGACGTGCCTGTGGCGGCCACGATGTCGCCGTTGGGCGAGCGCAAACGCTCCACACGGACTGGGCCGGTAGGCGCACTGTCTGAACGCACTCCTCGCCGCGCCACACGCGGACCGTGCGGTCCTCTCCTCCCGTCACGAACCCTTCACGCACGCACACGCACGCGTGGATTAACGCACACGCAGTTCAAAACGACGCACGCACGCGCATGCACGCGGGTTAACATACAGCACGGTTACGCACGCTCGAGTGTACTGTGCGGTCCTCTCGTCCCGTCACGAACCTTGCACGCACATACACGCGTGCACATACACGCGTGCACATACACGCGTGCACATACACGCGTGCACACCGTCTCTCCCCGTGTCTCCCCCCCCCCTCCGTCTCCCCCTGTGCGTATCTGACCCCCCCACCCCCGTATCTCCCCGCGTGGCCCTTGTCTGCCCGTGTGTGGTTCCCCCGTGTTTCCCCGTCCGTCCTCCGGTCTCTCCCTGTGCGTGTCTCACCACCACCCCCGCCCCCCCCTGCGTATCTCTCCCCACGTGTACCTCCCCCCCCGTCTCCCCCCGTGCACCTGCCCCCCGTCTCCCCCCGTGCATGTCTCCATCCTTGTCTGCCCGTGCACATCTCCCCCCAGTGTCCCCCCCCCACCCCCCCCGTGTCCCCCCCCCCCCACCCCCCGTGTCCCCCCACCGCGTGTCCCCCACCCACCGGAGGTGTTGGGCAGCAGGCAGATGGAGTAGACGTAGTTGGTGTGAGCGTAGAGCGTCGAGAGGCAGGGCCCCGCCAGCGCCCAGCGCCGCACGCTGCTGTCGTTGCTGCACGACAGGAACTCCTCGCCGCCGCCCAGAACCACGAGGCCCCTCACGCAATCCTCGTGGCCTTGAGTTTTTGGCGAGACACAACGCGGGCGGCGACGACGACAGAGGGCGGTCTACTAAGCGCGTAAGCGGGAGGAGGCTTCTCGCCGCCAACGGGTGAGATCGCGTCAAGCGCAAATGCCGGCTGCGACTGCCGGCGAAACGTCGCGCCGGGAACCGTAAATGTTGCGGTGGCTTTGACCCTCCAGCACGCAACCGGTGTGTGTGCTGTACGAGTAACGGATTGGCCACGCTTTATTCACGCGACACAAAACTCCCTCACTCGTTGGCCGTGTCAGGTGGTGGTGGCGCGTTCAACGACAAGAAGATGAATCCCTGCAGTCACGAAAGCTTTACATCGAGACACGTTCATATTCACGCGATCTACACCCAGCAACAAGATGCACTGTGAACGACGCAGACAAAAGCTCCCAATCGCGTAGCCCCTCTCACAGACCGTTGGGGCGAGTTGCACTTGGCGAGTAGCAGCAGCAGCGGCGGCGGCTGTGTAGGCCGGCACTGTGACTAACACGAGGGGGTGGGGTTGTGGCCAACACCACCTTTGTCTCCCCGGTGGCGATGTTTTACTACGCACCGCACCAGGTACTCATTCGCGGCCGAGTCGACCTAGGGGAGGCCCAGGACCGGTTCGGATATTACCCGCGTGAACGGTGTTAATCGCGGCCAGGAATCGAACTCACGTGGCCGGGTTGTTGTTATCCTGATCGCTGTAGGCATCCGTGGATTGTGTTAGATGGATTGTAATCGGTGTTTTTTTCAAATGGATGACTAGCTTCAAGTTTTACGTTTGGCTTGCAATGTATGGATAATAATGGTTGGATTGCAATAAATGTATTGTAAAAAATGGATTACAATGGTTGGATTGTAACGGATGGATTGTAATATATGGACTGTAACGTATGGACTTTAACGGATGGATTGTAATGGACGGATTGTGACAAATAAATTGTGGCGGATGGACTGTCACTGATGGATTGTAACTGATGGATTGCGACGTATGGATTGCGATGGATGGATTGCGATGGATGGATTGCGACGTATGGATTGCAACGTATGGATTGCAACATATGGACTGCGACAGATGGAATGTAGCGGATGGATGTGTCACGGATCGACGGCTGCGATCGTCCGGCCTTACCCGTGTAGGTGACCTCACAGCGGCCTGCCTTCCACATCTTGATGGATTTGTCGGCCGAGCCGGTGAGAATGGCGCCCTGCTTGTGCAGCACGCTCACCGCCCAGACCGACGCGCCGTGCCCCTGTGCGCACACGCGCGCACATGCAGGTGTGCAAAGACAAAGACCACGCCCCGCGTATAGCCTTAACGGACTGTTGGGGCAAGTGCTATTAGCGGAGCTGCACGGCACACGAGGGGGGGTGGGTGGGTGGGTGGCCACCCTAGTGGCGGTGTCAACATGCCCGCACAAAGTGCTCGTGGCACCAGGACCGGTTCAGATAATCGTCGGTGGTTGGTGGCCATTAGCGGGAATTGAACCCGGCTTTCCGGGTTCGTAGCGCAGCGCGCTAACCACTACGCAAGACACGGCATCGTTTAAACATGCACACAAAGCACACCGATGCTAAGACACAGCATCAAGCACAAAATCACACAGACACAGAGACTCACACACGCACACGAAGACCCAAACAAACGAGACAAAGATCTCCCGTGTAGCCTTACCAGACTGTAGGGGCAAGTGCTGTTAGCGAGCACCTATGAAGGCCGGCACGACACTCGAGGGGGTGGGTGGCCAGCACCACGCCCGGCTGCCTTTGTCTCCCCAGTGGTGATGTTTACACATTGCACCAGCCACTCAATTCAGGCTGAGTCTACCGAGGGGAGGCCCAAGACCGGTTCAGATAATCTTCACTGATGTTGGCTGTGAGCAGGAATCGAACCCGGGTCGCCGGGTTCGTAGCGCAGCGCGCTAACCGCGGCACTACCCCTCCCCACAACCCAAACACACACACATAGATGCCACTACACACACACGCAAAACATGCCACTGCACGCAAAGACACACAAGCACACGGCAGCACGCGCGCGCGCGCACACACCACATACACACACAGCAACAACAACAAACAACAACCGCCATTCGCCACCAAGTGGCGGTGACGTCAACCACGGCGCCCGTGCAGGCAATGCGCACTGCGAGGCGGCGCACAAAGGCGACACGCTCAAGACAGACCTGCAGCGTGGTCACGCACTTGTCCCGGAGCCACACCCGCGCCGTCGCGTCCCACGACCCGCTCACGAGCACGCCCGCCAACGCCGGCACGGCGCCGCCGCCCCCGCCGTCGCCGCCGTCGCCGCCCGTCGCCAGGCAGCACACGGTGGAGCCGTGGCCCTCAAGCCGGTAGAGCGGAACCGACGCGGGGCCGAGGGCGTCGGCCGCGAAGACGCACACGTGCCCGTCGTGGCCTCCCGTCGCCACGAGGCCCGCGGGGAAGTCGGCGGAGGGCGGCAGCGCGCACACGCACGACACGAACGCGTCGTGCGCCTTCCAGCGGGCCGCCTCGCGGAACTCGGACCTGCGCAGACGCACGCACGCGGACACACGCACGCGCACACACGCACGCGGACACACGCGCACACACACGCGGACACACACGCGCACACACGCGGACACACGCACACACACGCACGCGGACACACACGCGCACACACGCGGACACACGCGCACACACGCGCGTGCACGTGGCGGGCAGAATAGTTGAGGACGCAAAGACACAGGGTAACACGCGCACACACACACAACGGCATCAGTAGCTGCCATCCGCCACTAAGATTATTTAGATTATTTTGGCTGATATAGATGCCCAATGATGGGCCACTTTGAGCTATCATTTGTGGGCAGGGTCGGTGGGCTTTGCCTGGTAGGAGGGGGATGGTTTATTGTTGTATTTGGATGTGTTTTGAGTGATTTGTTTTCTTGTACTCTGCACTCCTATCATGTTTTTGTACTGTCTGTTGTCGTGACGTTCTTACCCCGTGCCCCTCCTGGTCATCTGTGAAAATCAAGAGCTTGAAAGCTCATCGGATTCCTCTGGTATAAATAATACAGATTCCGATCATGATCCTTAAGTGGCGGTGGATGTCACCCTACAGCGTTTGCGCCAGGGCTAAGGGTGCAAAAACCTTTGAGGCCGTCAAATTCGCCCCCTTGGTTTATTTCGTGTTTTGCTTTGACGCTTGAGGAACGTGCTTAAGGATTCTAGATTTGAAGCTTTCGTGACTGCAAGGATTCACCCTCTTAGTTCTTTCGGTAAAGTCACGTAGGTAAAAAAAAATGAAATTAAAATTAATAAAAACAATAAAATCACGACGTTTCGGAGGCAACACAAGCTTCACCTGAAGACGGAAGCTTGTGTTGCCTCCGAAACGTCGTGATTTTATTGTTTTTAAATCCTTTATATTAAGTTCACTTGCTTGCTTGCTTAGGACCGTGCAAATCTTTCGGTCGTTTTTTAACTCACTTCCCGTGATCCAATCGAGCTGACATTTTCCACACAGACTCGTTGTGCGTGACAATTAATGTTCGTGAAATTTTTTTCCAAAATTTACACTTTTTAGGACAAAAATATTATATTTAATTACCAATTGCTTAATGCTGCCATGCAATCATCTGACCCATAGGTGGCAGCCATCTCAAGCCAGAGGACGAGAGGACTCTAGCCGCCACGCATGTAAAGGATTTATAGTGAAAAACTTGTTTTTACGGGTTATACTTGTTTTTAATTTTAATTAATTTTTTTTTACCTACGTGACTTTTTTTTACCTACGTGCTTAAGGATCACAACGGGATCTGTCCGAACAAATTGTGCCGCCAAATCAGGGCGGTCAGCCCCCCTCGCGTTATTAGCACACGCACAGAGCGGGGTCCCCTTTCTCTTAATCCACTGCCTCCAGCGGTTGTTTGACCAAACTGGGGATCAAATCGGGGGAGCATGTACATTTGGGAGCATGGAATCGCGTAACAACAACGAATGTTGTCGCAACTGCCCTCTGCTGCTCTACGTGGCTCCGGGAACCGAGCCGGGCGCCATGGTGGCTAGGAGATGTTAACTCCCTCGCCTGGTGTACAGGTCGTGGGTTCGATACCGACCCTGACGCCTGCTGTATATGTGGAGTTTGCGTGTCTCTCTCTCTCATCATCATCACGGTGGCTAGGAGATGTTAACTCCCTTGCCTGGTATACAGGAGGTCGTGGGTTCGATCCCGACCCTGACGATGCCTGTTGTATGTTTGGGGTTTGCGTCTCTCTCTCTCCCCCCGTGGTCGCGTGGATTTTTCTACCGGGTCCTCCGTTTTTTTCCCCTCCACATTTAGAATCGACGTCACGCGTTTAGAGTTACTTGGCCGCTGCTATAACCTACCACAGGATGATGAAGATGATAATAAGCCCACTTCGTTGAGCTATCGTTTGTGATAAAAAGGTCTGTGGGCCATACCTAGTAAAATTAAGAAAACGTGTTATAGTTTTACCTAACATTATTGGTTGCGTACAAAACACTAAAACCAACACTTAAAAAGAATCCGCGACACTTTTAAACTTCTGCGTTGCATACTTTCGATTTGATTAGCAGTTGCCAATGACAGCTTTTTTCTTCTTGGTTCTTTCGGTAAAGTCACGTAGAAGGGAAGTAATAAAAGAATAAAAATAAAACATAATAAAATAATACAATAATATAATATTTTATTACTTCCCTTCTACGTGACTTTACCGAAAGAACCAAGAAGATGAATCCCTGCAGTCACGAAAGCTTTAAATCGAAAAATGACAGCTTTCACGCTCGCTCTCTCTCCGTCGAGATTAACGATCAGGTAGGCAGGTCGGTCCCAAGGTGTTCCTATGCCGTATCGGCGATTCTCGCTTAGGGGCCGTCCATAAATGACATCACGCGACGATTCAGATCATCGCAGCGATGATTCCAACTCCGCTTGCCACCTGAATGCAAAATCGCGGCAACAACGAACTAACGTCGTGATCTATTATTTCGTTCATTTTTTCTTTATACGTGACTTTACCGAAAGAACCAAAGAGTAATTCCTACAGTCACGAAAGCTTCAAATCAAGAATGTACTGACGTAAAATTGGGCATCATGACGATGATGTGGCCTGGCGCAAGTGTCTGTGTGTGTTTCGGGATCGGCCTCAGTGGAGGAGGCTCGCGAAGGACGCTGCTGGGCAGTTGGAGGCAGTCGCCCTCCAACAACAACGGAGGGCGGAGGAGCGATGCTCACAACAACGAGCGGAGCGCCGGGTGGCTAAAGCACAGCAAGTTGGCACAGTAGGGGGCACAGATGGTGCATCAGCTACTCATCTCAGTCAGTCGACCCGTGGCACCTGGGTCTGCCCCGTGACCTGCCAGCGGGCATTTGACATCGTTCAGCTCGGAATGAAGAGAGGAACGTGACAACCATCATCATCAGCATCGTCTTCCTCCTCATCATCCTCGTCTTAAAGCGACGGATAAAGTGCGAACGGAACGTCACGCGGCTACTCGAATCGTCAACGCTGCGGTGGCGGCTTTAACCCTCCAACACACAACAACAAAGCCCGGTGTGGTGGTGGGGTAGTGGTCCTGGTGGTGGGGTGGTGCTGGTGGTGGTGGGGTGGTGGTGGGGTGGTGGTGCTGGTCCTGGTGCTGGTGGTGGTGTGGTGGTGGTGCTGGTGTGGTGGTGGTCCTGGTGGTGGTGTGGTGGTGCTGGTGGTGGTGGTGTGGTGGTGGTCCTGGTGCTGGTGGTGGTGCTGGTGGTGTGGTGGTGGTGGGTGGTGGTGGTGTGATGGTGTAGTGGTGCTGCTGCTGGTGGTGTGGTTCTGGTGGAGTGGTGGTGGTGTGGTGGTGGTGCTGGTGGTGGTGCTGGTAGAGTGATGGTGGTGCTGGTGTGGTGGTGCTGGTGTAGTGTGGTGCTGGTGTGGTGGTCCTGGTGCTAGTGGTGGTGCTAGTGTGGTGGTGGTGCTGGTGTGGTGGTGGTGCTAGTGGTGGTGCTAGTGGTGCTAGTGGTGGTGCTAGTGGTGCTAGTGGTGGTGCTAGTGGTGGTGGTGGTGCTAGTGGTGCTAGTGGTGGTGCTAGTGGTGCTAGTGGTGGTGCTGCTGGTGCTGCTGGTGGTGGTGGTGCTGCTGGTGGTGGTGCTGGTGGTGCTAGTGGTGGTGCTGGTGGTGTGGTGGTGGTGGTGCTCTATCCTCGTAACAAATTGGCGCCCATGGTTGTGTTTACGCGACACAAACCCAGCCGTGTCGGGTGGTGGCCGGTTTAACGACACACACATTGTTTAATACGCCCCCCCCCCCCACTCAACTATGATTAACATTTGAGCGCGAAAGTCAACGACGACGCCGGCTCCGCGTGAAAGTGTTGACGTTGTTGACGACTGCGCGCCTCGCTGGCTCCCCTTCATCCAGCAGCGGAGAAGACCCTCACAAAGTCAATGGTGGTTGCGTTACGAACTCCCCCCCGCATTGAAGAAAGTTACACAACAAGGGGACGACGGTGAAGCCTCGTTAATTAAGGATAATTAAGAAGGAGTGGGGATGGAGATGGTTGTCTTGCGTATCCATCCAGCTTTGAATAAATCACGCAAGGGACGACGAGGCCTAAGTTGCGTTATCCCCACGGGCCCTAGCGCCTTGCCTGAGCGCCGCCGCCGCCGCACACTCACCCGGGGCCCGCGGCGGGGACCCAGAGGCAGGCGGTGCGGTCGCGAGACACCGAAGCGAAACCGCCGCTCGCCGCGTTCGGCAGCGGCGTCACGCCGCGCACGTCCATGTCGTGTGCCGGGATCGAACAGCGCAGCCGGTACGAGGCCATTCTCTTCTCTTTATCTTTATTTCTCGTGAGACGACGACGATCTCCTCAGCGATGAGTCGAGGCGGCCGCTGCGTTCGGCGAGGGGACGTTCCTGTCTGGGCGATGACGTCATTTGGTGGCAGCCGCGCGATGACGTCACGGACGCCGTGGTTGGGTTGGGGCTGCGAACGCGTCACGGAGGTTTCCGACGAGGCGGCACGCGGTGACGTCACGGGACGGTTGAGGTTACGCTGCGATGACGTCACGGACACTTCGCAGAAGCGGCGGCACGCGATGTCAGGTGGCCGCGCGGTGACGTCACGGACAGTTGAGGTACGCTGCGATGACGTCACGGACACTTCGCAGAAGCGGCACGCGATGTCAGGTGGCCGCGCGGTGACGTCACGGACAGTTGAGGTACGCTGCGATGACGTCACGGACACTTCGCAGAAGCGGCACGCGATGTTAGTTGGCCGCGCGGTGACGTCACGAACAGTTGAGGTACGCTGCGATGACGTCACGGACACTTCGCAGAAGCGGCACGCGATGTCAGGTGGCCGCGCGGTGACGTCACGGACAGTTGAGGTTACGCTGCGATGACGTCACGGACACTTCGCAGAAGCGGCACGCGATGTCAGGTGGCCGCGCGGTGACGTCACGGACAGTTGAGGTTACGCTGCGATGACGTCACGGACACTTCGCAGAAGCGGCACGCGATGTCAGGTGGGCCGCGCGGTGACGTCACGGACAGTTGAGGTACGCTGCGATGACGTCACGGACACTTCGCAGAAGCGGCACGCGATGTCAGGTGGCCGCGCGGTGACGTCACGGACAGTTGAGGTAACGCTGCGATGACGTCACGGACACTTCGCAGAAGCGGCACGCGATGTCAGGTGGCCGCGCGGTGACGTCACGGAGGCTTCGCCGAGGCTGCACGCGATGACGTCACGTACGGTTGAGGTGGCTGCGGTGACGTCACGGACGCAGAGGTGACCGCGATGATGTCACGAACGCTTCGCTGAGGTTGGGCTGCGATTACGTCACGAACGCTACGTGAGGTTGGCGCGCGAACGTCACGGACGCTTTGGGTGACGCGATGACGTCACGGACGCTTCGTGCGGCACGCGATGACGTCGCTGACGCAAATCCGATCCGTTCGGTGGCGTAGCGACGTCACGGACGCAACGCGAAAATGGCGTCGGCTCTTATTGTGACGTCAGCTTTCATTGTGACGTCACGACGCTTAGCACGCTACGTGGAGCAGTAATCGATGGGCGCGGTTTACCACGGGATTCTTGCGCGGAGAAATTTGAGTTTTGCAGCCCCGTACGGTGGCGTTTCAAATGTGTTTGCGTCTATTTCCTTGTTTGTGTTTCTCTGCTTGCGATGGGACTTTGTGGGGTGAACGTTGAGATGTATTAGGGGCACGTGGTGTGATCAATAAGGTCTCAGTTGGTCTGTAAAAAGGTAGGGCACTGATAAGGGGTTGACAGGTATGTGCTAGTGTAGTGTATAGTGTAGTATATAGTGTAGTGCATAGTGTAGTAGTGTATAGTGTCGTGTATAGTGTAGTGTATTATTATTTAGTGTAGTGTATAGTGTAGTGTATAGTATATAGTGTAGTGTATAGTGTAGTGTATAGTGTAGTGCAGTGTATAGTGTAGTGTATAGTGTAGTGTATAGTGTAGTGTATAGTGTAGTGCATAGTGTAATGTGTAGTGTATAGTGTAGTGTATAGCGTAGTGTATAGCGCAGTGCATAGCATAGTGTATAGTGTAGTGCATAGTGTAGTGTATAGTGTCGTGTACAGTGTAGTGCATAGCGTGGTGTATAGTATAGTGCATAGTGTAGTGTATAGTGTAGTGCATAGTGTAGTGTATAGTGTATAGTAGTGTAGTGTATAGTGTAGTGTATCATACCATGTCAACCCGTACGGTTTACCCCGGATTCTTGTACAGGGAAATTGAGTGTTCAGATCCATACGGCGTTGCAGCCGTTTCAATGCGGGCAAAAATCACGTGGGGTTTCTTTCTCTATTTGTTTGCGTTTCTCCCTCGTGATGGGACTGTAGGCTGAGCGTTGAGATGTATAAGAGGGCACGGGTTGACCACTAAGGTCTGAGTTGGCCTGTAATAAGGTCGGGCACCGATATACAGGTGTAATGAGAGCCTATGTCCGGCTCACGTGGTGATTGGCTCTGCCGGTCCTGCTCTACAGCCAATGGGTGGAGAGCCTGGGAGCATGGCCCTGGCGTGATCGAGGGATGTCAGCTAGTGTGATTGGTTCTGCTGGTCTTGGCCTCAGCCAATGGGAAGACAAGTCAGGGGCGTGGTCCCGGGAGTTGATGGGGGAATCTGGAACATTCAGCGCAGGCGAGTGAGGATTGGCTGGAGCGTACCACGTGACCCAGGCATTAAACAAGGGAAGAGCGGAGGGACACGTGGTCAGACGAGGAACGAAGAGAGAGAGGGGCCACGCGCGAGCGGGGCTCCGAGTGCCACGTGGCGGTGCGTCTCTTGCGATCTGTCTGCCCACTTCCCGTTGCCTGCCAGCAACGGGGAGTGCTTGTGAACTGAAATAAGTAAATAAAAGGACCGATTCCACAAGCCGTCTCCAAGAGTATTATTACACAGGGATGACAAACCGCACGGGTCGACGGCGATTCAAATGAGAACCACGAGGATGCCTCGCTGCTGGTCTCGTCAAGGGGCATCAACCACCACCACCATCACCACCACCATCACCATCACGTGAACTCCGCTCATCGTCGTCCTCGCAGTGGCGGAAGCACGCGGCTTCTGGCTGAGCCGTCGAACAAAGACGGTGGTCACCGCATCGTCATCGTTATCGCCATCGTCATCACCATCGTCATCGTCGTCGTCGTCATCGCCAACATCATCGTCATCATCATCGTCGTCGTCGTCGTCATTGCCAACGCCATCGTCATCATCATCGTCGTCATCAGCATCGTCATCAGCATCGTCGTCATCATCGTCATCAGCGTCGTCATCGTCAGCGTCATCATTGTAGTCACGTGGAACGCCTCTTTACAGCGGCCCAACATTGTCCCACCAAGCGGGCCGTGGGTGTCAACCACAAGGGTCGGGGACACGCATGGGCGGTGCGGGGGGAGGGGTGCAATTCTCTCACCGTCTTTAATTCATGAACGCGGTTTCCATTCATGTTGTAAAAGGGGGGGGGGGGGGGGTTGTGAAAACACAAACCGCTGCGAAACAACGCGAACTCACGCACGCGCCTGCCCCTCGCCACCAGAGCCCCATCGCTTACCACTGACCCAGCAGCCTGTGACGAGCCTGCGACGAACTGCTGATGAGGCCCATAACGTTGAACCGGTGGGAGGGTTTGTAGCCTTTGTTTGTGACGAGCCCGACTCCATGCAGCTGATGAGACACATAAAGTTGAACCGGTGGGAGGGTTTGTAGCCTCTGCGTGACGAGCCTGCCGACGAACTGCTGATGAGACACATACATTTGAAGCGGTGGGAGGGTTTGTAGCCCCTGTGAGACAAGCCTGACAACGAATTGCTGATGAAACCCACAAAGTTGAACCGCTCGCTCAGTAAAACGCCGCCTGACAGCGTCGCTAGGACCAACACCGCGAGATGTTGGATGCCCGCGTGTGCGGGAGACAAGACCGGCCGTTGTCAATCTCTTACATTCATACCAATGTATCTACGCTGTTTATATATAAAAAAAAAAAAAAAATAACACATTCGCCCGTCGAATTGACGGCGGAAACAATTCTGAAATCCACTCGCCCCGCTGCGGATGGGTGGCGGGCCACGGTTAAGACAATTGGCAAGCCACGTGTGATAGGTGGTGAGGTGGGGGGCACAGCCGATCAATTTATAATTATGATGTTGAAGCCTTGGGGGGGGGGGGGGGGGGGGGGGGCTATGCAAGATAGCAATGAGAATATTGTCTTTATACTTGGGGAGCGAAATAGCACTTGGGGTCATAGCGTCACAACGAACAAACATTGACAACACGTAAAAGTTTCGATTTAAAGCTTTCGTGACTGCAGGGATTCATCTTCTTGGTTCTTTCGGTAAAGTCACGTAGAAGGGAAGTAATAAAATAATTAAAATAAAACCTAATAAAATAATAAAAAAAATGTTTATTATGTTTTATTTTTATTATTTTATTACTTCCCTTCTACGTGACTTTACCGAAAGAACCAAGAAGATGAACACGTAAAAGGTAAACAAATCACCCAAACGCATACAAACAAAACCAAAAACCATCCCCATGGCGGGAGGGGGTGGCACGTGCCCCCCCCCCCCCCCAAATGATCCGATCGAAATCCCTAATTTCGATCGGATCATTGGGGTTTATTAGTAATAATTCGGCATTTTGCGACCCCCACTGCCACTGTGTAGCATATTATTACGTGCCAGGGACTCGATGAGCTGATAGGACAATAGTCTGAGTCCATAATTGGCAACAAGTAACGGCAAAGCGGTTATAAGCGACTCACAGAATTGTGCGCAGTTGCGTATACAGCACAGTCATCGTCGTCGTCGTCGTTGTCATCATAGTCGTCATCGTCGTCATCATTGTCGTCATCGTCGTCGTCATCGTAGTCGTCGTCGTCGTCATCATCATCGTCGTCGTCGTCATCGTCGTCGTCATCGTAGTCGTCGTTGTCATCATCGTCATCATCATCGTCGTCGTCATCGTCGTCGTCATCGTCGTCGTCGTCATCGTCATCATCGTCTTCATCATAGTCGTCATCATCGTCGTCATCGTCGTCATCATCATCGTCATCATCGTCGTCATCGTCGTCATCATCATCGTCGTCGTCATCGTCATCATCGTCGTCGTCGTCATCGTCGTCGTCATCGTCGTCATCATCGTCGTCATCGTCATCATCATCATCGTTATCATCGTAGTCGTCGTCATCGTCGTCATCGTCGTCATCGTCGTCGTCGTCCTTCATCGACGTGCAACCACCGTTTTTCTCGACTTGTGCGTCAGGTCAACTTCCTGCGGCTCCAGCCTCGCGTGCGCTCCGCAATGAGCCACGATTTGGCGGGGAGCGGCCGGGGCACGGCGGCTTGCACAGCTGTCGACCCCCTTATACCAGCGCCGCTACCTTATTACAGACCAACTCAGACCGTGCTGGTCACCCCCCGTGCCCTCTTGTAAATCTCAACGTGCATCCTACAAAGTCCCATCGCAAGGGAGAGACACGCACAGACAAGTGATTACTCACTCTTTGGTTCTTTCGGTAAACTCACGGAGGTGTCAAATTAAACAAATCGCGACGTTTCCGGCGCAACGCAAAGGGTCCGCCACCTGATGACGGACGCTTGTGCTGCGCCCGAAACGTCGCGATCTGTTTTATTTATTTCTACCCACGTGACTTTACCGAAAGAATCAGAGAGTATGGGATTCCTGCAGTCACTAAAGCGTCAAATCAAGACGAATTAAAAAAAAAAATTGCCCAGATTAAAGCGGCTGCAATGCCGCCGTATGGACCTGAAAACTCAATTTCCCCTTTACAACAACAACAACAACAAGTACAACAACAACAACAACGAGGAGGGGGGGTAAAGCCGACGGGTCGACGGGCGTGCCGGTCAGCTTGACACGTCCCTGACGATCCCCGGCCGGCGACGGGGCGAACGTCAAAAGTGTCGCTCTCTCTCACTCTCTCTCTCGAGGCGAGCGATGACATCACGATACAGCGGCAACCGTCGTCAAGGCTTTATTATGACGATGAACCTCGTGAGAAATGTTAATTGCGGGGGGGGGGGGGGGGGGTCCTATGACGTCATACACTTCGAACGCCGTGACGTCACGCACTCTGAACCCCGTGACGTCACGTGCGTCGGACAACGCGACGATCGTATGAAATGTGTTAATGGGAGGGGGGCGGTTTCGCGTGACGTCATACACTCTGAACTCCGTGACGTCATACAATTTGAACGCCGTGACGTCATACAATTTGAACGCCGTGACGTCACGCACACCTTGAACGTCGCACGGTTTGAACGTCGTGTGAAATGTGTTAATGGGGGGGGGGGGGGTTCCCAGTGACGTCATACACCTCCAACGTCGTGACGTCACGCGCCTCCAACGTGGTGACGTCGCGCGCGAAAAACATCGTAAAACGAGAAGGACGTCACAGACGACGTCATAATACCGGACGTCGCCCCCTGCACATTGCGTCCCAACGACGTCAAGTCAAGTCAACCGCTTCGGGACACTTTGCAGGTCGTTACAAAATACAACAATGACAACTCGCTCGCTCAGTCGCCCGCCCGCCCGCCCGCCCGCTCGCCCGCCCGCTCGCTCGCCCGCCACACACTGAAGGTCACGCAACAAACACCTCTCCCGATTCTTCACTTGCCGCTGCTCCACTTTGGAATTGGCGCCCATCGTCCCTTTGGGATGATCAGGAGGCCGATGAAGCTGACCATCTGGATGATCGGGGATGATCTGGACGCCGATGATTTTGGCGATCTGGATGATCGGAAATGATCTGGAGGCCGATGATTTTGACAATCTGGATGACCCAGATGATCTGAAGGCCGATGATTCTTACAATCTGGATGATCCAGATTATCTGAAGGCCGATGATTCTTACAATCTGGATGATCCAGATGATCTGAAAGCCGATGATTCTTACAATCTGGATGATCCAGATGATCTGAAGGCCGATGATTCTTACAATCTGGATGATCCAGATGATCTGAAGGCCGATGATTCTTACAATCTGGATGATCCAGATGCCGATGATATCTGACCATCTGGATGACCCAGATAGTCTGAAGGCCGATGATTCTTACAATCTGGATGACCCAGATGATCTGAAGGCCGATGGTTCTTACAATCTGGATGATCCAGATGGTCTGGAGGCCAATGATCCTGACCATCTGAATGATCCAGATGCCGATGATATCTGACTATCTGGATGACCCAGATGATCTGAAGGCCGATGGTCCTGACCATCTGGATGACCCAGATGATCTGAAGGCCGATGGTTCTTACAATCTGGATGATCCAGATGGTCTGGAGGCCAATGATCCTGACAATCTGGATGATCCAGACGCCAATGAACCTGACCATCTGGATGACCCAGATGCCGATGATATCTGAGACCATCTGGATGACCCGGATGATCTGGTTGACTCGTTGGTGAACTTCACACGGAGCCGGCCTCGGACCGGATGAGCTCCAGCAGCAGTTTGATGGCAGGCTCGTCTGCACGCACGCACGAGGCAAAGACAAAGATCCCCCGTGTAGCCTTAACAGACTGTTGGGGCAAGTGCTGTGAGCGAGTCGTGCCCATGAAGGCCGGCACGGCCGCACACGAAGTGGGGTGGGGTGGTCGGCGCCACGCCCGGCCGCCTTTGTCTCCCCAGTGGCAATGTTTACTACACACCGCACCGGGTACTCATTTGAGGCCGAGCCGACCTAGGGGAGGCCCGGAACCGGTTCAGATAATCGTCACCGGTGTTGGCAGTGAGCGGGAATCGAACTCGGGTCGCCGGGTTCGTAGCGCAGCGTAGCGCTAACCGCTACACTACTGCTCCAAAGACAAAGATCCCCCGTGTAGCCTTAACAAACTGTTTGGGGCAAGTGCTGTGAGTAAGCAGCACCTATTAAGGCCGACACGGTGGCGCACAAGGGGGTTGGGGGTGGCCAGCACCACGCCCGGCCGCCTTTGTCTCCCCAGTGGCGATGTTTACTACACACCGCACCGGGTACTCATTTGAGGCCGGGTCGACGTAGGGGAGGCCCGGAACCGGTTCAGATAATCGTCACACAACGTGTAAAGCCATCCCCCCCCCGTGTTCAGTGTACACGCCGTACAGTACAACGGCGTTAGGAATTGTTCAAGGCGACACGCTGGGGCCCTTTGGTGGCCGCGCGCGTGTCTCCCGTACCCTGCTGTGGGAGCTTGGGATTCGCCATCTTGCGCTCAAGCACCGAGTCGATGGCGGCGCGCAGCTCCTTGAAGATCACCCCCACGCGAGCTGGCGCCTGCTCGCAACAACAACAGCAACACAAAGACAAAGATTCCCCGTATAGCCTCAACAGACTGTAGGGGCAAGTGCTGTCGGCGAGTAGCACCGACAAAAGGCCGGCACACGACACACTCACAAAGACAAAGATTCCCCGTATAGCCTCAACAGACTGTAGGGGCAAGTGCTGTTAGCGAGCACCTACAAAGGCCGGCACACGACACACTCACAAAGACAAAGATCCCCCGTATAGCCTCAACAGACTGTAGGGGCAAGTGCTGTCGGCGAGTAGCACCGACAAAAGGCCGGCACACGACACACTCACAAAGACAAAGATTCCCCGTATAGCCTCAACAGACTGTAGGGGCAAGTGCTGTTAGCGAGCACCTACAAAGGCCGGCACACGACACACGCACAAAGACAAATATTCCCCGTATAGCCTCAACAGACTGTAGGTGCAAGTGCTGTTAGCGAGCACCTACAAAGGCCGGCACACGACACACTCACAAAGACAAAGATTCCCCGTATAGCCTCAACAGACTGTAGGGGCAAGTGCTGTTAGCGAGCACCTACAAAGGCCGGCACACGACACACTCACAAAGACAAAGATTCCCCGTATAGCCTCAACAGATTGTAGGGGCAAGTGCTGTTAGCGAGCACTTACAAAGGCCGGCACACGACACACTCACAAAGACAAAGATTCCCCGTATAGCCTCAACAGATTGTAGGGGCAAGTGCTGTTAGCGAGCACCTACAAAGGCCGGCACACGACACACTCACAAAGACAAAGATTACCCGTATAGCCTCAACAGATTGTAGGGGCAAGTGCTGTTAGCGAGCACCTACAAAGGCCGGCACACGACACACTCACAAAGACAAATATTCCCCGTATAGCCTCAACAGATTGTAGGGGCAAGTGCTGTTAGCGAGCACTTACAAAGGCCGGCACACGACACACTCACAAAGACAAAGATTCCCCGTATAGCCTCAACAGATTGTAGGGGCAAGTGCTGTTAGCGAGCACCTACAAAGGCCGGCACACGACACACTCACAAAGACAAAGATCCCCCGTATAGCCTCAACAGACTGTAGGTGCAAGTGCTGTTAGCGAGCACCTACAAAGGCCGGCACACGACACACTCACAAAGACAAAGATTCCCTGTATAGCCTCAACAGATTGTAGGGGCAAGTGCTGTCGGCAAGTAGCACCTACAAAGGCCGGCACACGACACACTCACAAAGACAAAGATTCCCTGTATAGCCTCAACAGACTGTAGGGGCAAGTGCTGTTAGCGAGCACCTACAAAGGCCGGCACACGACACACGCACAAAGATTCCCTGTATAGCCTCAACAGACTGTAGGGGCAAGTGCTGTTAGCGAGCACCTACAAAGGCCGGCACACGACACACTCACAAAGACAAAGATTCCCCGTATAGCCTCAACAGACTGTAGGTGCAAGTGCTGTTAGCGAGCACCTACAAAGGCCGGCACACGACACACTCACAAAGACAAAGATCCCCCGTATAGCCTCAACAGACTGTAGGTGCAAGTGCTGTTAGCGAGCACCTACAAAGGCCGGCACACGACACACTCACAAAGACAAAGATTCCCTGTATAGCCTCAACAGACTGTAGGTGCAAGTGCTGTTAGCGAGCACCTACAAAGGCCGGCACACGACACACTCACAAAGACAAAGATTCCCTGTATAGCCTCAACAGACTGTAGGTGCAAGTGCTGTTAGCGAGCACCTACAAAGGCCGGCACACGACACACGCACAAAGACAAATATTCCCCGTATAGCCTCAACAGACTGTAGGTGCAAGTGCTGTTTAGCGAGCACCTACAAAGGCCGGCACACGACACACGCACAAAGACAAAGATTCCCCGTATAGCCTCAACAGACTGTAGGGGCAAGTGCTGTTAGCGAGCACCTACAAAGGCCGGCACACGACACACTCACAAAGACAAAGATCCCCCGTATAGCCTCAACAGACTGTAGGGGCAAGTGCTGTCGGCGAGTAGCACCGACAAAAGGCCGGCACACGACACACTCACAAAGACAAAGATTCCCCGTATAGCCTCAACAGACTGTAGGGGCAAGTGCTGTCGGCGAGTAGCACCGACAAAAGGCCGGCACACGACACACTCACAAAGACAAAGATTCCCCGTATAGCCTCAACAGACTGTAGGGGCAAGTGCTGTCGGCGAGTAGCACCGACAAAGGCCGGCACACGACACACTCACAAAGACAAAGATTCCCCGTATAGCCTCAACAGATTGTAGGGGCAAGTGCTGTTAGCGAGCACCTACAAAGGCCGGCACACGACACACTCACAAAGACAAAGATTCCCTGTATAGCCTCAACAGATTGTAGGGGCAAGTGCTGTTAGCGAGCACTTACAAAGGCCGGCACACGACACACTCACAAAGACAAAGATTCCCTGTATAGCCTCAACAGACTGTAGGGGCAAGTGCTGTTAGCGAGCACCTACAAAGGCCGGCACACGACACAAGCACAAAGACAAAGATTCCCTGTATAGCCTCAACAGACTGTAGGGGCAAGTGCTGTTAGCGAGCACCTACAAAGGCCGGCACACGACACACTCACAAAGACAAAGATTCCCTGTATAGCCTCAACAGACTGTAGGGGCAAGTGCTGTTAGCGAGCACCTACAAAGGCCGGCACACGACACACGCACGCACCAGGACCGATTCAGATAATCGTCACCGGTGTTTGCCGCGAGCGGGAATCGAACTCGGGTCGCCGGGTTCGCAGCGCAGCGTAGCGCTAACCGCTACACCACCGCTCCCCACTGAACACACACAACAACAACAACCGCCATTCGCCACTAAGTTGCGGTGACGTCACCACGGCGCTTGTGCCAGGCCATGTGCACCTTGAGGCCACGTATAGTGTCGAACGCCTGCCGACAGGTCACCGGTCAGACCCAGGTGCCATTTCCATTCTCACAAAGACAAAGATCCCCTGTATAGCCTTAACAGACTGTAGGGGCAAGTGCTGTTAGCGAGCACCTACGAAGGCCGTAACGGCACACGAGGGGGTGGGTGGCCAGCGCCACGCCCGGCCGCCTTTGTCTCCCCCAGTGGCAATGTTTACACACCGCACCAGGTACTCATTTGAGGCTGAGTCGACCTAGAGGAGGCCCAGGACCGGTTCAAATGATCATCACTGGTGTTTGCCGCGAGCGGGAATCGAACCCGGGTCGCCGGGTTCGTAGCGCAGCGTAGCGCTAACCGCTACACCATCGCTCCCCACACACACAAAGATACACACACACGCGCACACACACACGCGCCGGCTGACCTGGAAGTGGATCCAGCCGTCGACGGTGACGAGGCGCTCGCGGTGCCGCACGCCGATCTCGCCGCCGAAGAGCACGAGCGGCACGGCCCCCACCGGGGTGCAGTCCCGCACGCTCACGCGGGCGTACTTCACCTGGCGGGCGACGACACGCACACGTACCACACGCACACGCACGCACCGCACGCACGCATACCGCACACACACGCACACACCGCACGCACACACGAACACGCGCGCACGCACCGCACGCACCGCACACATACACACACACACGCACCGCACGCACCGCACACATACACACACACGCACGTACCGCACGCACACACGCGCACCACACCACACACACACAACGCACGCACACACACACGTACCAAAACACACACGCACGTACCATACACAACACGCACACACGCACGTACCGAACACACACGCACACCACATGCAGGCACGCAACACACACACACGTACCGTACACACCACACGCGCACACCGAACCGAACACACCGAACACACACCGGACACATCGCGTGCGCACGTACCAAACACACACACGCACGTACCGTACACACCACGCACACACACATGCACAGTGTGAGACGTACTCCCACACAGCAACAGTTCGTGTTTAGTTGAGACATCGCATTCCGAACCCCCCCAAACCCCAATTACATTTCACGCTTTTGGTGTCGGGAATCCGGTACATTCAAGCGTCAAGTTTAAGTGTCTCTGTTCAACCGGGAGGGAACGCAAACTGGTCCAACGCATTGCCATGCAATGTTGATCCAACACATTGCTACGTGCAATCTTGGTCCAACTCATTGCTACGTGCAATCTTGATCCAACTCATTGCTACGTGCAACTTTGGCCCAACGCATTGCGATGTGCAATCTTTGCCCAACGCATTGCCGTGCAATCTTGGTCCAACGCATTGCTACGTGCAATCGTGGTCCAAGTCATTGCGACGTGCAACCTTTGTCCAACGCATTGCCGTGCGTGCAATGTAGATCCAACGCATTGCTACGTGCAATCTCGGTCCAACGCATTGCTACGTGCAATGTAGATCCAACGCATTGCCGTGCAATCTTGGTCCAACGCATTGCCGTGCGTGCAATGTAGATCCAACGCATTGCTACGTGCAATCTCGGTCCAACGCATTGCTACGTGCAATGTAGATCCAACGCATTGCCGTGCAATCTTGGTCCAATGCATTGCCGTGCGTGCAATGTAGATCCAACGCATTGCTACGTGCAATCTCGGTCCAACGCATTGCTACGTGCAATGTAGAACCAACACATTGCTACGTGCAATCTCGGTCCAACGCATTGCTACGTGCGTGCAATGTAGATCCAACGCATTGCTACGTGCAATCTCGGTCCAACGCATTGCTACGTGCAATGTAGAACCAACGCATTGCTACGTGCAATCTCGGTCCAACGCATTGCTACGTGCAATGTAGAACCAACGCATTGCCGTGCGTGCAATCTTGGTCCAACGCATTGCCGTGCGTGCAATGATGAACCAACGCATTGCCATGGGGCGGGGGGGGGGGGTGGGGAGCGGTGGACTGATCACGGCTCGTGACGACCGCCACACTCGTGAGTGGCGCGGCGGCCTTGTTCGCCCGGCGCCTGTCCGTGCGCGCGTTGCCTTCTCCTGGTAGAGCAGCCAGCTGGGCCCTCGGAGTGCGCGGGCCACCGAGGAGGGGTGCACGTGCGCCGGGCCCTGCGGCGTCTCCACCAGGCACGGCGCCTTCTCGGCGGACGCCTCCATGGGGTCCACGGGCACCACGGGAACCACGCGGACGCGGCCCACGTTGTCGTAGAGGCCCGCCGTGAGCACCGCCTGCAAAAATAAATGAATGTATTTTAATACATAATGTTAATTATTATTATCGTGAGACGATCTCCTGTAGACCGGGCGAGGTAGTTAACATCTCCTAGCCACAGTGATGATGATGATGAGAGACGCCAACTCCAAATATACAGCAGCAGCAGGCATCAGGGTCGGGATCGAACCCACGACCTCCTGTACACCAGGCGAGGTAGTTAACATCTCCTAGCCACCGTGATGATGATGATGAGAGAGAGACACGCAAACTCCAAATAAACAGCAGCAGGCATCGTCAGTCGTCAGGGTCGGGATCGAACCCACGACCTCCTGTAGACCAGGCGAGGTAGTCAACATCTCCTAGCCACCGTGATGATGATGATGATGAGAGAGAGACACGCAAACTCCAAATATACAGCAGCAGGCGTCGTCAGGGTCGGGATCGAACCCACGACCTCCTGTACACCAGGCGAGGTAGTCAACATCTCCTAGCCACCGTGATGATGATGATGATGAGAGAGAGACACGCAAACTCCAAATATACAGCAGCAGGCGTCGTCAGGGTCGGGATCGAACCCACGACCTCCTGTACACCAGGCGAGGAAGTTAACGTCTCCCAGCCACCACGGCAGTACCCATTGCCCACCGACTCCCGCGGGGGGGGGGGGGGGGGGGGTGCCCCCCGTGACCCTCCTGACCTTTAGCAGGGCGATGTCACCGGGTCCGAGGTCGGGTTTCATGGCCGAGCGATCGCTCCTGAAGCCCAAGGCCTCGACCTGGCGCACGAGTTCTCTCTGCACGTCCTGTAGAGGGGAGAGCGCCGGGGGGGGGGGGGGTCATGCGGATCTCTTTCAGGAGCTGTAAACTCATCGTCGCGACAACTCCGCTCGTCGCCATCTTCACAGCAGCGGCCCTTTGGGCCCGGCCGGGTACGGGTAGCCGGGTACGGGTAGGGTACGGGTATCGGGTAGGGTACGGGTATCGGGTAGGGTACGGGTATCGGGTAGGGTACGGGTACGGGTAGGGTACGGGTATCGGGTCGGGTACGGGTATCGGGTACCCGGTTGCGACCTCTGAGAGAGAGACACGCAAACTCCAAATATACAGCAGCAGGCATCGTCAGGGTCGGGATCGAACCCACGACCTCCTGTAGACCAGGCGAGGTAGTCAACATCTCCTAGCCACCGTGATGATGATGATGAGAGAGACACGCAAACTCCAAATATACAGCAGCAGGCATCGTCAGGGTCGGGATCGAACCCACGACCTCCTGTACACCAGGCGAGGTTGTCAACATCTCCTAGCCACCGTGATGATGAGAGAGACACGCAAACTCCAAATATACAGCAGCAGGCATCGTCAGGGTCGGGATCGAACCCACGACCTCCTGTAGACCAGGCGAGGTTGTCAACATCTCCTAGCCACCGTGATGATGAGAGAGACACGCAAACTCCAAATATACAGCAGCAGGCATCGTCAGGGTCGGGATCGAACCCACGACCTCCTGTAGACCAGGCGAGGTAGTCAACATCTCCTAGCCACCGTGATGATGATGAGAGAGACACGCAAACTCCAAATATACAGCAGCAGGCATCGTCAGGGTCGGGATCGAACCCACGACCTCCTGTAGACCAGGCGAGGTAGTCAACATCTCCTGGCCACCGCGGCCCCCCCGCCGCAAGGCTCACCGAGATGTTGGTCATGGCGTTGTGGTTCAGGAAGTTGCGCTGACAGAAGGCCGTCTCGGCCGCCACTCCCTCCCTGCGGGCAGCCTGCCACCTGCAACGACCGATCGTGCGATAACCGGTCAACAGAAGCGAACCCGGCCATCACGAATGATAGGTTCAACGAAGTGGCTGATATCATCGCCAAATGTACAGCAGCAGCCAAATAATCCACGCGGCCTACGGGCAGAGAGAGACACGCAAACTCCAAATATACAGCAGCAGGCATTGTCAGGGTCGGGATCGAATCCACGACCTCTGGTACACCAGGCGAGGTAGTCAACATCTCCTAGCCACCGTGATGATGATGAGAGAGACAGACACACAAACTCCAAATATACAGCAGCAGACATCGTCAGGGTCGGGATCGAACCCACGACCTCCTGCGTACCAGGCGAGGTAGTCAACATCTCCTAGCCACCGTGATGATGATGATGAGAGAGAGAGACACACAAACTCCAAATATACAGCAGCAGGCATTGTCAGGGTCGGGATCGAACCCACAACCTCCTGTACACCAGGCGAGGTAGTTAACATCTTCTAGCCACCGTGATGATGACGATGAGAGAGACATACAAACTCCAAATATACAGCAGCAGGCGTCGTCAGGGTCGGGATCGAACCCACGACCTCCTGCGTACCAGGCGAGGTAGTCAACATCTCCGATTCACCATGCGCATTCCGGGAAAGGGGTGAGCAAGTGAACGCGACGTCAACAGCAGCCCGACGAGCAAACGGTTGCGGCTTCGAAATGAAGACGCTCACCTCTGATAGGCTCGATAAAAGGTCAGGTGGTCTGAGCTGGCCAATGAGAGGCTGAGCTTGGCGAGGTCGGCCTCGGACCGCTTCCCGATTGGCACTACCCACGGGGACTTCTCCCCGACCGTGGCGGCGATGACAGCCTGGCGAGAGACGACCACAACAACAACAACCACAACAACAACAACCACAATGACGACGACGATGAAAATCAGCACCAAGAACAACCACCACCGTAACCACGACCGCCGTCACAGTGGGCGAGTGTGCGGGTAGTTGGGTGAGCTCCGCGTGCAGGTGAGCGAGTACGGGTGAGCGTGAGTTGCGGGCGTGCGAGCGGGTGAGCGTGAGTGCGGGTGAGTGGGTGGGTGAGCGTTAGTGTGGGCGAGCGTGAGTGCGGGCGTGCGAGCGGGTGAGCGTGAGTGCCGGTGAGTGAGTGAGTGGGTGAGCGTTAGTGTGGGTGAGCATCAGTGCGGGTGAGCGAGCGGGTGAGCAAGTGGGCGAGTGTGAGTGCGGGTGAGTGAGTGAGTGAGTGAGTGGGCGTGAGTGCGGGTGAGCGAGCGGGTGAGTGAGTGGGTGAGCGCGTGAGTGCGGGCGAGTGAGTGGGCGAGCATGAGTGCGGGTGAGTGAGTGGGTGAGCGTGAGTGCGGGTGAGTGAACAGGCGAGTGTGAGTGCGGGCGAGCGTGCGGGTGAGTGAGTGGGTGAGCGTGAGTGCGGGTGAGTGAGCGGGCGAACATGAGTGCGGGTGAGCGAGTGGGTGAGCGTGAGTGCGGGTGAGTGAGCGGGTGAGCGTGAGTGCGGGTGAGCGAGTGGGTGAGCGTGAGTGCGGGTGAGTGAGCGGGCGAACGTGAGTGCGGGTGAGCGAGTGGGTGAGCGTGAGTGCGGGTGAGTGAGCGGGCGAGCGTGAGTGCGGGTGAGCGAGTGGGTGAGCGTGAGTGCGGGTGAGTGAGCGGGTGAGCGTGAGTGCGGGTGAGCGAGTGGGTGAGCGTGAGTGCGGGTGAGCGAGTGGGTGAGCGTGAGTGCGGGTGAGCGAGCGGGTGAGCGTGAGTGCGGGTGAGTGAGTGGGTGGGTGTGAGTGCGGGTGAGTGAGCGGGCGAGCGTGAGTGCGGGTGAGTGAGTGGGTGAGCGTGAGTGCGGGTGAGTGAGTGGGTGAGCGTGAGTGCGGGTGAGTGAGTGGGTGAGCGTAAGTGCGGGTGAGTGAGTGGGTGAGTGAGTAAGCGGGCGAGCGAGCGGGTGAGCGTGCGGGCGAGCGAGCGGGCGAGTGAGTGGGTGAGTGAGCATGAGTGCGGGCGAGTGTGCGCGAGCGTGAGTGAGCAGGTGAGTGAGTGGGTGAGCGAGCGTGCGGGCGAGCGGGCGAGCGTGCCGGCTCCCTCACCGCCGCGGGGAGGCATCCGAGGTAGGCGGCGAAGATGAGCATCTTGGCGACGCGCGGGGACACGGGCAGCGCCGCCAGGTGGTGTCCCAGCGGCGTCAGCACCCAGTCCTGGGGGGGGGGGCCCCCCCCCGCGCCGGCCGCGTCGGGGCCCCCCGCCCCCGCGGCGGCGGCGGCGCAGGCGCCGAGTCGGCGCAGCACCGTCATGGCGCGCTGCACCGACGGCACCGGCGGGGGGTCCAGGGCCTCCGACAGGAACTGCTCCGGAGGACCCAGCCCACACTTCTACGGGGCGGGGGGTGGGGGGGGGTGGGGGGGGGTGGGGGGGGTACAGGGTGGGGGGTGACTGGGTGGCAGGGCGAGTGGGTGGATGAGTGGGTGGACGAGTGGGTGGACGGGTGGGTGGGTGGACGAGTGGGTGGCAGGGCGAGTGGGTGGATGAGTAGGTGGGATGATGAGTAGTGGGGGGGGGGGAGTACAGGGTGGGGGGTGGGTGACTAGGTGAGTGGGTGACTGGGTGGCAGGGCGAGTGGATGGGTGGACGAGTGGGTGGGTGAGTGGGTGGCAGGGCGAGTGGGTGGGTGGAGGAGTGGGTGGACGAGAGGGTGGGTGGACGAGTGGGTGGGATGATGAGTAGTGGGGTGGGGGGGGAGTGGGTGACAGGATGGGTGGGTGACTGGGTGGCAGGGCGAGTGGGTGGACGATGAGTGGGTGGACGAGTGGGTGGGTGGACGAGTGGGTGGGTGGATGGGTGGGTGGACGAGTGGGTGGGTGGACGAGTGGGTGGGATGATGAGTAGTAGTGTGGGGGGGGGGGGGGGGAGTACAGGGTGGGTGACAGGATTGGTGGGTGACTGGGTGGCAGGGCGAGTGGGTGGACGGGTGGGTGGATGAGTGGGTGGGTGGGTGACTGGTTGGGTGGACGAGCGGGTGGGTGGACGAGCGGGTGTGTGGACGAGTGGGTGGGATGATGAGTAGTGGGTGGGGGGGGGGGTCCCCCTCTCACCATGATGCTGAGGCACAGCTCCTCCAAGGGCATCCGCTGGATCTCGGGCACGGCGAACTGCGGGAATCCCTCGTACCTGCCCACACAAAGACAAAGGGGCCCCGTGTAGCCTCCTACAGACCGTCGGGGCGAGTGCTGTTCGACACTAAGTGGCGGCGACGTCACCACGGCGCCTGTGCCAGGCTACGTGCACGCTGAGGCCACGCGAAGCGCTGACACGCGCAGCAGACACACGCGCAGACACACGCACACAGCAGACACGCACAGCAGACACGCACAGCAGACACGCACAGCAGACACACACACAGCAAACACACGCGCAGACACACGGGCAGACACACGCGCAGACACACGCACACAGCAGACACGCACAGCAGACACGCACAGCAGACACACACACAGCAGACACACGCGCAGACACACGGGCAGACACACGCGCAGACACGCACAGCAGACATACGCACAGCACCACGGTGGCACGTGAGGGGCGGGGGTGTGGCTTGGGGAGGGTGTAAGGAGGGGGGGGATGGGGGGGTTTGGTAGGGGGGTGTGAGGAGGGTAGGGATGGGGGTGGGGGATGGGGGTAGGGGGTGTGAGGAGAGGGGGGATGGGGGTGGGGGGGTGTGAGGGGGGGGGGATGGGGGTGGGGGGGTGTGAGTAGGGGGATGGGGGTGGGGGGGTGTGGGTGGGTGGTGCGGCCACCTGCTGCGGGTGTAGAGGCGGAAGCAGAAGCCGGGCTGCACGCGTCCCGCCCGCCCGCGCCGCTGCTCGGCACTCGCCTTGCTGACGAACGTCTCCACCAGGGAACTCATCTGCCCACTCTCGCTGTACCTGCCCCGCACACACACACACACAGGCAAAGATCACACCACCACCACCAACACCGCCACCAGGGAACTCATTTGCCCACTCTCGCTGTACCTGCCCCACGCACACACACACACACACAGGCAAAGATCACACCACCACCAACACCGCCACCAGGGAACTCATCTGGCCACTCTCGCTGTACCTGCCCCACGCACACACACACACAGGCAAAGATCACAACACCACCAACACCGCCACCAGGGAACTCATCTGCCCACTCTCGCTGTACCTGCCCCACACACACACACAGGCAAAGATCACACCACCACCACCAACACCACCACCAGGGAACTCATCTGCCCACTCTCGCTGTACCTGTCCCACGCACACACACACACAGGCAAAGATCACACCACCACCAACACCGCCACCAGGGAACTCATCTGGCCACTCTCGCTGTACCTGCCCCACGCACACACACACACAGGCAAAGATCACACCACCACCAACACCACCACCAGGGAACTCATCTGCCCACTCTCGCTGTACCTGCCCCACGCACGCACACACACACACAGGCAAAGATCACACCACCACCAACACCGCCACCAGGGAACTCATCTGCCCACTCTCGCTGTACCTGCCCCACGCACACACACAGGCAAAGATCACACCACCACCAACACCGCCACCAGGGAACTCATCTGCCCACTCTCACTGTACCTGCCCCACACACACACACACACAGGCAAAGATCACACCACCACCACCAACACCGCCATCAGGGAACTCATCTGCCCACTCTCGCTGTACCTGCCCCACGCACGCACACACACACAGGCAAAGATCACACCACCACCAACACCGCCACCAGGGAACTCATCTGCCCACTCTCGCTGTACCTGCCCCACGCACGCACACACACACACAGGCAAAGATCACACCACCACCAACACCGCCACCAGGGAACTCATCTGCCCACTCTCACTGTACCTGCCCCACGCACACGCACACACAGGCAAAGATCACACCACCACCACCAACACCGCCACCAGGGAACTCATCTGCCCACTCTTGCTGTACCTGCCCCACGCACACACACACACACAGGCAAAGATCACACCACCACCAACACCGCCACCAACACCACCAACACCAACACCACCGCCGCCGCCACCGCCACCACTGCCACCACCAGCAACGCCACCAGCAACGCCACCAGCAACGCCGCCACCGCCACCACCACCAGCCACGCCGTCACCGCCACCAACACCACCGCCACCACCGCCGGACCGTCGAGGCAAGTGCTGTCGGTGATGATGGTGGTGATGATGGTGGTGATGATGATAGAGATGATGACAGTGGTGGTGATAGAGATAGCATTGATGATGATGGTGGTGGTGATAGAGATAACATTTATGATGATGACGATAACATTGATGATGATGATGGTGGTGGTGGAGTTAACATTGATGATGATGATAATAACGATGACCATGACGACAGTGATGACGTGATGACGATGATGACGACAGCGACGATGATGATGACGACGATGATGACGATGACGATTGCGATCGTGACGACAGCGACGATGATGATGACGATTGCGATCGTGACGATAGCGACGATGATGATGACGATTGCGATCGTGACGACAGTGACGATGATGACGACGACGATTGCGATCGTGACGACGACCCCCCACCTGTTCTCCTTGCTGCGTCCGCCGTCGATGACGAACACCACGTCGGGGATGGTGATGCCCGTCTCGGCGATGTTGGTCGCCAGCACGATCTGCGAGTCGCGAGAAACAAAACGGCAGCGGCTCGGCGAAGAGGTGGTGAACGTCCTCGTTCCCTTAGAACTGCTTTTTGTGTTTAGTTTGTTGGCCTTCCCAACCCCACGCACCTCCGATTAGCACGGATGGTTACCCACAGACTCACACAGAGACCCACAGGCTCACACAGAGACCCACAGACTTACACAGAGACCCATAGACTCACACAGAGACCCACAGACTCACACAGAGAACCACAGACTCACACAGAGACCCATAGACTCACACAGAGACCCACAGACTTACACAGAGACCCACAGACTCACACAGAGACCCACAGACTCACACAGAGACCCACAGACTCACACACAGAGACCCACAGACTCACACAGAGACCCACAGACTCACACAGAGACCCACAGACTCACACAGAGACCCACAGACTCACACAGAGACCCACAGACTCACACAGAGACCCACAGACTTACACAGAGACCCACAGACTCACACACAGAGACCCACAGACTCACACAGAAACCCACAGACTCACACAGAGACCCACAGACTCACACAGAGACTCACACAGAGACCCACAGACTCACACAGAGACCCATAGACTCACACATAGAGACCCATAGACTCACACAGAGACCCACAGACTCACACAGAGACCCATAGACTCACACAGAGACCCATAGACTCACACAGAGACCCACAGACTCACACAGAGACTCACACAGAGACCCACAGACTCACACAGAGACCCATAGACTCACACACAGAGACCCACAGACTCACACACAGAGACCCACAGACTCACACAGAGACCCACAGACTCACACAGAGACCCATAGACTCACACAGAGACCCACAGACTCACACAGAGACTCACACAGAGACCCACAGACTCACACAGAGACCCATAGACTCACACACAGAGACCCACAGACTCACACACAGAGACCCACAGACTCACACAGAGACCCACAGACTCACACAGAGACTCACACAGAGACCCACAGACTCACACAGAGACTCACACAGAGACCCACAGACTCACGCAGAGACCCACAGACTCACACAGAGACCCACAGACTCACACAGAGACCCACAGACTCACACAGAGACTCACACAGAGACCCACAGACTCACACAGAGACCCACAGACTCACACAGAGACCCACAGACTCACACAGAGACCCACAGACTCACGCAGAGACCCACAGACCCACACAGAGACCCATAGACTCACACATAGACCCACAGACTCACACAGAGACCCACAAACTCACACAGAGACCCACAGACTCACACAGAGACCCACAGACTCACACAGAGACCCACAGACTCACACAGAGACTCACACAGAGACCCACAGACTCACACAGAGACTCACACAGAGACCCACAGACTCACACAGAGACCCACAGACTCACACAGACTCACACACAGAGACCCACAGACTCACACACAGAGACCCACAGACTCACACACAGAGACCCACAGACTCACACACAGAGACCCACAGACTCACACACAGAGACCCACAGACTCACACAGAGACTCACACAGAGACCCACAGACTCACACAGACTCACACAGACTCACACACAGAGACCCACAGACTCACACACAGAGACCCACAGACTCACACACAGAGATCCACAGACTCACACACAGAGACCCACAGACTCACACAGAGACTCACACAGAGACCCACAGACTCACACAGAGACCCACAGACTCACACAGAGACTCACACAGAGACCCACAGACTCACACAGAGACCCACAGACTCACACAGAGACTCACACAGAGACCCACAGACTCACACAGAGACCCACAGACTCACACAGAGACTCACACAGAGACCCACAGACTCACACAGAGACCCACAGACTCACACAGAGACTCACACAGAGACCCACAGACTCACACAGAGACCCACAGACTCACACAGAGACCCACAGACTCACACAGAGACCCACAGACTCACACAGAGACCCACAGACTCACACAGAGACCCACAGACTCACACAGAGACCCATAGACTCACACAGAGACCCACAGACTCACACAGAGACCCACAGACTCACACATAGACTCACACAGAGACCCACAGACTCACACAGAGACCCACAGACCGTACCTTGCGTACACCCGGCGGAGGGATGGAGAAAGCGGCGCTCTGGTCGCGTGACGACAGCACCGAGTGGAGCGGCACCACCTTGTACCTGGCGCAGCGACGCACGCACGGTCAGCTACAGACAAAGGTGCCCCCTCCACCGTGTAGCCTGCACGGGCGGCCGGGTCAAGTGCCGTTAGCGAGCGGCACCTACGAAGGCCGGCACGGCCGCGCGAGGCGGGGGCGGGGTGGCCGACACCACGCACGCCCGGCCGCCCTTGTCTCAAGTACTCGTTGAGGCCGAGTCGACCTAGGGGAGGCCCGGGACCGGTTCAGAGTTCTGTCGTCACCGGCGGTGTTGGTGGCCGTGAGCGGGGATCGGACTCGGTACGCGGCCGGGTTCGTGTCGGGGCGGAGTAGCGCTGAACGCTTCACCACCGCAGGCCACACTCACGAGGCCACACCGCAGCACACACACACACATACACGCGCACACACACACCCATACACACGCACACGCGTGTATACACACACACACGCGTGTATACACACACACGCACACACACGCACACGCACACACACACACACGCACACACACACACACCCATACACACGCACACGCGTGTATACACACACACACGCACACACACACACGTACGCATACACACACACACGCGCGCGACGCTCGCATCGCACGGCAAGCGTTCGCCGCGGCAATGCCGGCGCAATCGCTCCGTCGCCACTGCGAGCGCTTGAACCGCGGCGGCGTTCCAGCGCGGGGGGGGGGAGACCTCACCGGCGGGAGTCGCGGAAGTCCCGGTGCTGGCTGAGCGCGTCGTGCAGATCCTGGATGTCGGCGAAGCCCGGCAAGAAGACGAGCACGGCGCCCTCCACCGCACGCAGCTCGGCGCTGGTGTCTAGGCACAGAGACAAAGATCCCCCGTGTAGCCTCTGGCAGACTGTCGGGGCAAGTGCTGTTAGCAAGTAGCAGCAGCAGCTACTACTGCCGGTGCCGTGACGAGGCGGTATTGCCGGCTCGGACCACGCCGATGGGGGATTTGATTTGTTTTATTATAATTAATTTTCATTAAATGTTTTTTTCATGTAATTTTTGCTGTATTGCTACGCAGTTTTTATTTTATTATTTAATAATAAAAAAATGTTACTTCATTATAATAATTTATTATTACACGTATACATTTGATAATTGCTTTTTAACCCTTCTATCTGGCAACAAAACTGACACCTTTTTTTACAAGTGTCAGTTTTGTTGCCAGATAGAAGTGTAAAAAAAACAATTATCATATTTTTTCACTGTCAAACGAGGTTCCAATGACGTATACATTTGCTCCCCCCCTCCCGCCCCCCAACTCACCCAGGTGGGCGAGCAGCGCCACCACGAGCTCCAGGTTGACTCGCTCGGAGTTGGCGGTGGCGACGGCGTGGCGGGTGCGGGCGCTGTAGCGCGCCGGGTCGAGCCCGCTGGGGTCCGAGCCGGCCGCCCCCTCCTTCTCCCACGACAGCTGAGCTCGCCGCGGGGAAAGGGACAAGTTGAAACGTTTTTTTATTCGAAGCTTTCGCGACTGCGGCGATTTCACGCTCGTGGGTTTCTCCCGGTAAAGTCGCGTGGATTAGGAAAACGAGTCGATGACGAATCACGGACGTTTCGATGGCAACGGCGAGCGGTCGTCCTCCGGTGACAGAGAGAAACACCAGCCTCTGTGACGAGGCATTAGAAAGAGGGGGGAGTGGGGGATGCTGCAAAGGGGCGAGAGAGGGTGGGGATCACGTTCAAAAGAGGGCTTGGGTGAGAGAGAGAAAAAATGTGACAAGGAGGCTTAGATATCAAACTTAACAACATTTAGAAATGCAATGCAACTCAGAGAGTCGGCCAACACAACAGTTAACACTTTACCTGGTTGCTCAACGTCCTTCCAAAGATCACAACATTTTACAACCCTCCCCCCCCCTCGATATAATGCCTCGTCACAGAGGCATCGGTGTTGCGATCGAAACGTCATTATCCATTCTTCACTTCTTTTCCTATCCACACGACTTTACCAAAATAACCTCAAGAGTTACATCATGGGATCTCTTTTGCCAGTACCAAAATATACTAATAGGGTTTTTCCCCTTTTTTTTTTTTGCAAAAGGTGTCAGTTTTGTTGCCAGAAAAAAGGGGAACAACCCTATTAGTATATTTTGCTACTGGCAAAGGAGGTCCCATGATGTAGCTGCTCACCCCGAGCTCTCGTTACTCTGGTAGTGCGTTGTCTTGAACTGTGCGCCTTTTGGCGTCATCTGGTCGAACACCAAATGAGACTAGGCTCTAAAGAAAGCTGTCTCTGGTGTGGACCAATCAGTTTCAAAGACAAAGCATACATTATCAGAGTATTGTTTTTTGTTTGCATTTGACTGCAAGTATTGTGGTTAATGTAAGCATGATTCCTTGCAAAAGGTGTCAGTTTTGGTTGCCAGAAAAAAGGGGGAAAACCCCTATTAGTAACCTCAAGAGTGTTTAATATTTTTGTTCAATAAAAATATTTAAATTCCACCTCCCTCTCCCCCCCTCCTCCTACCTCGCCGTAGCCGCTAGTGGCACGTCGGGGGGCCGATTGGTGCCGCGCGAGGAACTCACCCTGGGGCCGCGTCGACCCCAGCGTGACCCCGCGACCCCCGCGACCCCGTGGCTCACCCCGCCACCGCGCCCGCCGCTCACCTGCACGCGACGCGATTGTCCGGCCCTTCCCGTGACGGTGACGGCGGTGGACTGCTGCTGCTGCTGCTGGTCGCGGTCGCGCAAGGCGTACGGGGAGTCCGAGTCCAGCGCGTAGCCGCTCAACTCCACCACGTCCTCCATGTAGCTCACCTGAGGGGGGGAGACGGGGGGGAGGAGGCGTGGGAGGAGGAGGAGGATACTGACCGAGTGCCAGTCTATGAGTCTCTCTCTCTCTCTGTGTGTGTGTGCCAGTCTATGAGTCTCTCTCTGTGTGTGTGTGCCAGTCTATGAGTCTCTCTCTGTGTGTGTGTGTGCCAGTCTATGAGTCTCTCTCTCTGTGTGTGTGTGTGCCAGTCTATGAGTCTCTGTGTGTGTGTGTGTGTGTGCCAGTCTATGAGTCTCTCTCTCTGTGTGTGTGCCAGTCTATGAGTCTCTCTGTGTGTGTGTGCCAGTCTATGAGTCTCTCTCTGTGTGTGTGTGTGTGCCAGTCTATGAGTCTCTCTCTGTGTGTGTGTGTGTGCCAGTCTATGAGTCTCTCTCTCTCTGTGTGTGTCAGTCTATGAGTCTCTCTCTGTGTGTGTGCCAGTCTATGAGTCTCTCTGTGTGTGTGTGTCAGTCTATGAGTCTCTCTCTGTGTGTGTGTGCCAGTCTATGAGTCTCTCTCTCTCTGTGTGTGTGTGCCAGTCTATGAGTCTCTCTCTCTCTGTGTGTGCCAGTCTATGAGTCTCTCTCTCTCTGTGTGTGCCAGTCTATGAGTCTCTCTCTGTGTGTACCAGTCTATGAGTCTCTCTCTCTGTGTGTGTGTGTCAGTCTATGGGTCTTTGTGTGTACCAGTCTATGAGTCTCTCTCTCTCTCTCTCCGTGTGCCCGCGAGCGCCGCACCTGCACGGGGAAGGTGCGCCCGGGCACCGTGACGATGGGACACCCGCCGAAATACCGCGACAGGCGCCGGCAGTCGGCCGTGGCGCTCATGAGGATGAGACGCGGCGGCTGCCGCTGCTGCTGCTGCCGCTGCCGCCCCCCCGAAGTCGCCGCCGAAGACGCCGCCGAAGTCGCCGCCCGCGCCAGCAGCCGGCGCATGGCGGCGAGGAGGAGGTCGTTGTGGGCGCCGCGCTCGTGCACCTCGTCCACGACGAGGTGGGACAGCGACGAGAGCGCCGGCTCCACCTGCAGCCGGCGCAGGAGCACGCCGGCCGTGGCGTAGAGCAGGCGGCAGCAGGGCCCGGCGCGGCGCTCCAGGCGGATCTGGTAGCCGCAGAGCGACGACTGCGGGACGGACGGACGGGGCGGGAAGGGGGGGGGGGGTCAGGGGTCAGGTGACCTGTCGGCGGGGGGGGGGGGGGGGGGATGCGACGCGGCGGGAGAGCCGTTGTCTGCTGCCCGTGAAGGCTGGCACGGCACACGAGGCGGCGGTGGGGGGGTGGACAACACCGCGCCCAGCCGCCTTTGTCTCCCCGGTGGCGATGTTTACTAAGCACACCGCGCCAGGTGCTCGTTTGAGGCTGAGTCGACCTAGGGGGAGGTTCATATAATCGTCACCGGTGGTGTTGGACGTGAGCACGAATCGGGTCGCCGGGTTCGTAGCGCAGCGTAGCGCTAACCTCTACACGTAAACACACACACACCTACACACACACATACACACACACGTAAACACACACACATCTACACACACACCTACACACACACGTAAACACGCACACACACACCTACACACACACATACACACACACGTAAACACATACACCTACACACACATATACGTAGACACACACACACGTAAACACACACACATCTACACACACACCTACACACACACGTAAACACGCACACACACACCTACACATACACCTACACACACACAGGTAAACACACACACGTAAACACCCACACACATATGTAGACACACACACCTATACACACACACGTAGATACACACAAACGTAGACACACACACACGTAGACACATCACACACACACCTAGACACACACACACATACACCTACACAAAGACAAAGATCCCCCATATAGCCTTAACAGACTGTAGGGGCAAGTGCTGTTAGCGAGCACCTATGAAGGCCGGAACGGTACACGAGGGGGTGGGTGGCCAGCACCACGCCCGACCGCCTTTGTCTCCCCAGTGGCGATGTGTACACACCACACCAGGTACTCATTTCAGGCTGAGTCGACCTAGGGGAGGCCCAGGACCGGTTCAGATAATCGTCACTGGTGTTAGCCGTGAGCGGGAATCGAACCCGGGTCGCTAGGTTCATAGCGCAGCGCGCTAACCGCTACACTATCGCTCCCCACACACACACGTAAACACACACACACACATACACACATACGTAGACACACACACCTACACACACACACGTAGACACACACACACGTAGACACACACACAGACGTAGACACACACACACGTAGACACACACACACGTAGACACACACACCTACACACACGTAGACACACACACACGTAGACACACACACACGTAGACACACACACGTAGACACACACACACACGTAGACACACACACACACACGTAGACACACACGTACACACACACACACGTAGACATACAACAACAACCGCCATTCGCCACTAAGTGGCGGTGACGTCACCACGACGCTTGTGCCAGGACAAGTGCACCTTGAGGCCACGTGAAGTGTCGAACGCCCGCTGGCAGTAGACACACACACGTAGACACACACACACGTAGACACACACGTAGACACACACACACGTAGACACACACACACGTAGACACACACACACGTAAACACCCACACACACACGTAGACACACACACGTAGACACACACACACACACACGCGTAGACACACACACACGCGTGCGTGCGTGCGTCACCTCGCTGCCCGGCTCTCCGTGCGCTCCCAGCTCCTGGTTGACGCGCCGAGCGAGGCTCACGGCCGAGATTCGCCGCGGCTGCGTGCACACCACCATGAAGGGGGCGACACCACCACCACCACCACCCTCCTCCTCACTGCCACCCGGGGACTCTCCTGCGGGGCGAGGGGTGGGGGCATGAGGGGGGTGGGGGGGGCGAGTGGGGGCATGAGGGGAGGGGGAAGTGGGGGGGCGATGTGGGGGGGGGGTGAGGGGAGGGAAGTGGGGAGGGATGAAGGGGGGGGGTGAGGGGGGGGATGAGGGGGGGGATGAGGGGGGGGTAGTGGGGGGGGATGAGGGGGGGGGGAGTGGGGGGGGGGGGAGTGGGGGGGGTATTGAGGGGGGGGGGATGAGGGAGGGGGGAAGTGGGGGGGACAGCATTCGACCTCTTGAGTCTTGGCGATGAATTCGACACCCGTGGCGTCTGCACTCACTCACCCCCGCCCCCTCACCCCCGACCCCTCACCCCCGACCCCTCACCCCCGACCCCTCACTCCCGACCCCCCCCCCCCTCACCGGCCAGGAACTCCTCGAGCAGGAACTGCGGCACCTGGGTGCTCTTCCCGCTGCCCGTCTCCCCGGCGACGATGACCACTCGGTGCGTCGCCATGGCGCCCACCAGCTGCTCGCGGTGCTGCGACACGGGCAGGGCCCGGCGCTCGGCGCGGAGCCTCTCGGCCGCCGGCGAGGAGCGGAGGCGCTGGAAGAGGTGACGGCACGCGGACAGGGAGCCCCTCCCCGCCGCGTCCTCCGCACCGCCGCCGCGCCCGTCACACGTAACGTCGTTGCCGCCGCCGCCGCCGTTTTTCACTTCCTCCTCTTCCTCCTCGTCATCCTCGTCGTCCTCGTCGTCGGAGCCGGAGCCGGAGCCGCTGCCCTCCGAGTCGTCCCACGACTCCTTGAGGCCGCCGTCGCTGTCCTGCGGAACGTGACGGCGGAAACCGTGACACTTGCTTCTTCACGACCGCCTCTCTCTCCGTCGCGTTCAGCCGCTCGCTCTCCCGCCCCTCCAACCCACTTCTCCGATTCAGCGCCGCTGGCCACGTACGGCGCGGAAGACGCTCAAAGCACGGTACATAGACTCACGCGGCAGAGACCCATAGACTCACACAGAGACCCATAGACTCACACAGAGACCCATAGTTTGCTGCTCCACACAAATCCACACAAATCTACGCAGGACACCAAGACGAGTGAGTGACGTCATCCTGCATCCCAATCAGCTGCGGGGGGGGGGGGGGGAGGGCAACACACGGCGCTCCGAAACACCCAGGAGGGGTGGGGATGGGGGGGGTTGGGGGGGGGGAGGGGCAACACACGGCACTCCGAAACACCCGGGGTGGGGTGGGAGTGGGGTGGGGTGGACGCGACCTCGCACCTGGGCGGGCGCCTGCTTCTTCCGCCCCTTGCCGCCGTGACCTTTGCGAACCCTTCGCTCCTGTTGCTCGCTCCACTGCTGCTGCTCCTGCTGCTGCTCCTGCTGCTGCTGCAGCGCAGGCTGCTGCTGCTGCTGCTGCTCCTTGAGCTGCGCCAGCAGGCGGTCGAGGAACTCGTCGCGGGGCCGGTTGGTCTCGTCGCGCGCCGCCTGCTGGGCCGCCTGCTCCGCGTCGCGCCACTCCAGCCACACGTCGCGGTACGGGGGCGGCAGCAGCTGGTGGATCGACTGCGGCGGAGAGCGGGAGAGGGGGAGAGCGGGAGAGCGGGAGAGCGGGAGAGGGGGAGAGGGGGAGAGCGGGAGAGGGGGAGAGCGGGAGAGCGGGAGAGGGGGAGAGGGGAGG